CTTAAATAGAGAATGCCTTTATTGTAACTTTAGTCATTTTTCTGGTGTGGGCGAAAAACACCTCTTTGTTGAGATATTTTGCCATTATTTCTTACTACAGAGCTTTGAACAAGTACTGGGGCAAATAATTTGAAGATAAAGGGGGGAGAGCTTCAGAAAGTTTGTGAAAAAATTCCATTACTTGTTAATTCCATTTTCCCATAACTTTTTAGACCCCTTTTATATCTGAGATGTAGATTGGCAATTTTGCAAATTAAAGACAAGTTTATTTCACCAATCATTAACTTTATTGAAAGCTTACTACTATGTGTGAAGTACACTAAATTTCTCATACTCTTATGAGGGAGGCACTCTAATTTTCTTCATTTTATGAATGAGGGAAATCAAAACTTAGAGAGTACAATCAACACGCATCAGGTCATACAACCAAGAAGGGGCAGAATGTCATGACTTTTGAGCTCAAGTTCTCTTAACCACTGGGGAGCCCTGTATTCTTTATAATCAACTTCAGTTCTTTGTAGTCACTATTAGCTAAGGTAGAGTTAAAGTTGATAGCAAAGTTAAGTAAGTTTGGAAGCTTAACCAGGGGACAAGGCTAAATAGAAGGCCAGTTCACCTTTACCCTCTGGTTCTAGCCAGTTCCCATCTACAAAGAATCTATGGGTGGCTTAAGGTTAGTCTGTGTCAGAGTTGTAAATCTAAAGTCAGTGTAGGACCACAGAAGGCAGGGAGCACAGGGTAGAAGTAGCTGGAATGGGCAGGCCCCTGGGGAAGCCAACTCCATAGCGTGATTTCCACAAGTCATGCTGTAGGAATTTCATCATTTTAGAGATCCATGCTGCAGTTATATGTCAATGGACTTTTAGAGGCTGGTAGTCTGTCGTGCTCTCTTGAGTTGTGAGCATCCTCAGGTTTATGAATGAGATCAATTCCTAGTTGTGTCTTTAAGTTTAATTTGTAGATAAATTGGAACAAGTGCATATAATTTGTGTTTAGCCTTACTGTAGTGCCATAAAATCCTCAATGTCTTTTCAGTGATTTAAGAGTTGCACATGCAGCATTTGAAGGTGATTGTGATAAATTTGGCAGTAGGGGGTTGGTTCAGTGGTTTAAAGTGAGGACAATTTTATATAATGATAAAAGTGGGAGTTGTCTGTAAGTCACTTGTTTGTAACTACATAGTGGTGAGCTACTAATGACTAATTCCTGGGTTTATGAGATAAGGAAGTGATAAATCACCCTTGCCCGTTTCCTTTGGTTAAAGCTGAAAGAATTGAAGAATCTGCAGCAGCAGCATTTACAGATTAACCAAGAGATCACTGAGTTACGGCCACTGAAGGCTCAAGTTCAGGATGATCAGGACAAAATGGAAGCATTTCAGAGGATGCAAGAAGAATACAGGCAGGAAACCCTCTCTTGGCAACATGAGCTACAGCAGCTCAGGTATGATCATCCTTCTTCCCGACCCTTTTCTTTTTCCTCATTTGGCTTTTTTGGGGCAAATGAAAGTCACCGGAAGTTGCAAAAATTATAGGGAGACCTGTGTGCTCTTCACACAGTTTCCTCCAATGCTACCATCTTACATAACTATGTTACAATATCCAAACCTGGAAATTGATAGTAGTACAGACTTACTCAGATTTTAGCCATTTTACATGCACTCCTTTGATTTGATGTGAGATATATAGACAATAAGGAAAAAACTAGGAAAACTCTGCCCTCTCATCCCTTGATTCTCAGGATCCATAGCCTCTCTGTCTTTTTCTCTCTACCTTTCTGAGTCTGTTTATGTTTGTTTTAGAGAAAAGTGCCTACATTTTTGTCTGTACTTGGTGGGACAAAGATGTGCCTGTGCTCTACATTGTCAAGAATCTGAAATAGCAACCCTTTTCTCTTTAAGAAACAGCTCAATAACACTACTATATGGCACCATCATGGCAGGGAAAAATTTGAGATAGCAAGTATCATTCTGGTGTGTGTGTGTGTGTGTGTGTGTGTGTGTGTGTGTGTGTGTTTCTGATGGATTTGATCCAAAGGTAAAAAGTAAGGAAGGAATCCTTTAGAGTATATAAAAATGTTGTTGCTACTTCATTGTTGGAACTTTATAACTGTTTAACTTGAGATCATGCATGCTCCCTTAATAAAACCAAATGCCAAATGTTTAAGGTTTGATACTTAAAGGAAAAAGGAAAATCTCCTTGTTAGAAATTGCTGCTGAGCAAGTAGCACCTACTTGTCTCTTTAAATGCCAGAGAACAACAAGAGACAAGGAATACAGAGGCTATGAAGTGAAGTCTGGATTCCTGTCCTGCTTTAAAAGGGTTGCCAGTATGAGACACCAACAAAATGTAATAAATAAACACTCACATTCTTAGGAGAGCTCGTAATGTGCAGTCACCGATGAGTTATTCTAACCTAGGTAGGTATGCAGTGCAAGTAAGTAGGTAGGTACTCACTACCATGGAGTTAATTCCGGCTTACGGACACCCTATGGGACAGAGTAGAACCACCCGTGAGTTTCCTCTCCACTAGTTTTAAGGAAAATAAGTAGAAATAGTATCAGCTGATTTAGGGAGTGCTTACTGAGTGCCACTTTTATATACTCTAAAGGATTCCTTCCTTACTTTTTACCTTTGGATCAAATCCATCCTCTATGTTTATTGCATAACATATACTTAATCTTCACAATAATTTTTAAAAGTAGATAGTGCAGTAAATGGCCTGAGGACCAGATTTGGCCTCCTCTGGCTTCCCTATTGCCAGCAGGCGGGAGGCAGACATGTCTGCATGCATCGTCCTCCTTCACCTATTCTGACACCAACCATTCCTCCCATGGTCGTCTGTTAGGTTCCATACTTCATTGCACTGGTCTCACTGAAGTCACAGACGGTACTCACAGTTAAGGGGGTTCATTAAGGAAGTGAATAGTTAACACAAGTCGGGCTCAGCAAACAGTAAGTACCTCTCCTCAGCCAGCAGCCAAGTCTCTCGAGTCTATCCAGTCGTAGCCTGTCATTCCACATGGCAGCTCTTTCCAGGTCTGTCTCAGCCACATGGTCCCTTGGCCTCTGCCTCCACGGGCCATGAAGCCATCCCACCTGTTGCTCTGCTGCACAGTCCCATAGGCCTAGGCCCGACTAGGAAAGGGGGCCCCATAGCCTCTGAACTGCTCCTCTGAGTCTCTGTGCCACAGAGTCTGTTTCATATGCTGCTTCAGGTCCTTGGAGTTTCTCTCTTATCCTGCTTCAAAGATGGCTCATCCTTATTGTCAGGGTTGGTTAGTTTATGCCGCTCTGTTTGCATAATCCCACCCATACCTGATTTACATATTCCACCCACAGCCAATTTGCATAACCGTATCCAGTCAGTTGGTGGGAGTTACAGTGACTTAGCCAAAAGAACCAAATTAAGCATTTTCACGCCACCACAGATATTCCTGTTTGACTGTTGAGGCATAGAAACCTTTGTTAAGGTACTTTTACTCAGGTTCGTAAACGTACTACTTATATACAGCATTTGAGCCTATAGATCCCTCAGATTTGAAATCCATTCTCATCTGTGGTATATATACTGTGCTGAGGCACTGCCCTACTGAAAAGTTGACAGTTGCTTCCCATTGCTTACAGAGTAAGCTTTTTTTTTTGCCTGGTATTTAATGCCACACATGGTCTGGCCTTCCTCCTCTCCATCCATTATACGTACCATCTGCTACGATTCTGGACCTCCCCTTCTGTGTTCAGACTTGTGCCTGTCCTCACTTTGTTCCCTGAACCTGGAATGTCCTCCTTAGGAAAGCTGCTGTAGTCATGTAAACTCAGCCAAATTTATTGCCATTGAGTCTGTCCTAAGTTACAGCGACCCCACCTGTGGTTTTCCAAAACCATAACAGCTCGTTTTTTCTCCCAAGCACTCTGTGGTTTCAAACTGCTGACCTTGTGGTTAACAACCCAACACGTAGCCCACTGTGCCACCAGGGCTCCTTCTCTTCCTCATCAGTTTCTGCTGAAACAAAGACTACAAGTGGATGGCTTTCACGAACACATTCTTTCACAGTGCAGGAATCTAAAGACTACATTCAGAGCACCACCTCTAGGCTTCTGTGCTCTCTCAGCTCTGCGGGAAGATCTTTTTACTTCTTTCAATAGCTGTGCTTTCAGTGTCTTACAGATCATCCTCTGTGTCTAGGACATTCCAGCACAGGAAGCCTGAGTGCAGAGGACACGCTCTAGTACTGGCTTTCCCCTGCTGGTACTGAGCTTCCTTGTCCTTCTCTACTTCTGTTTTTCTCGCATAAGATTAAAAGTGATGCAGGTCATACCCCAGGGAAATTGCCTTTACTTGGCATCAAGGTTGTAACCTTAGATAACGATGGGGCATCCCACCCTAATTCCCTTAGAACTGATGGGCTGATCACGACATGGGGGTTATTATATCACTGTGTAACTGCTAAATTGCATCATTATATAACAGTGAAACCACGGAGCATCATGGTCCAGCCAAATTGAAACAAATTTTGGGAGGACACAATTCAGTGACAGAAGTCCTACTTAGTCATTCTG